ACAAGAATATATAAGTAACTTATAATGACAACCAAGATTTAATTCGACAAGCCTTAAATAATCAACAATCAATTCGTAGCTACAGCCCCAGAACTAGAGCGTTTAGCCACTCATGCTATTAGAAAACAAGAAATTACAATAGTTCATCCAAATTCTGGAAAATAGAAGAGTTAAAGGATTAAAACTTATTACAAACTTGAATTCTTGCTTTTGCACACTAAATCAAAAGTTGAACGCCAATTATGGAGCCCTAAGGATCTATTTATAATAGTAGGAAAAGTTGGGAACAAATCCTACTCAAATTAGGCATCCTATTTAATGTTTAAATTTTGGCAAAGTCGGCAAAAGATGGACGTGTCGTGCCTCTCAGTTGACTCTGACGTCCCCTCCTTGGTGTGTCGCGCCTCTTAGCGCGCCTGAGGAGGGTCTCTGAAATACCACCAGTGGTGCGCCGCGCCAACCACTGGTGGTTTTTGCCTTGGCCATTTTCTTGCACATCTTTGCTCTTTTTTTCTTCATTCCAACTCCAATTCCTTCGAGTGCTCCTGAAACAACTAATCATGTATGTTAGTGCACAAGTTATACCAAAAATCAAGTTAACAACTAAAGATCATTCCTCAATCTAATCAATTCATGGGTCAATATAGACAACTTAGGCATATAAATATGCCTAAGATCAACATACATATGAGATATGGAGATATTCTTTTTCCTTTTCTAATTTTGTCATGTAAATATTCTTTTGATAGTTTTTCCTTTGCCATTTGATCTTGAGAATATTCTATTCCTGTAGGGTTTACCATTATATGGCATCTTACTTGTATAAATACAACCTAATTGTATAGTTTTATTCATTCAGAAATACAAGAAGAAAATTTTCTATACTGTTCTTCATTTATTCTTTAATGTTTTTGGTGACACTTTGACCAAGAAATGGTCAAATCCACTTTAAAATGTAATTAAGTAAATCTGGGACCAAATTAACATTTTCAAAACTTTCTAATCTTTTATAAAATACAAAAAAAAAAACTTCATTTTTCAAATTTTATAATTCTATCCAAACCATTTAAAAGAAAAGTAAAAGAAAATAGATTTTATCTTCTTCTTCTTCTCCCAATGTTCTCTCTTCTCTTCTTCTTCTTTCTTAGAAATCTGAAAATTCGACTATCAAAACAAATATTCTCCCCATTATCTTATCTTCCTCCTCATCTCCGGTCGTGACTCTCTCTTCTTTCTGAACTGAAGATCGTGTTCGACTAAAAATGGGTAAGTCATTTTTTTGAAAGATTTTACAATTTTCTAACAATACTATGTTTTTTTCTTGGGTTAGTGAACAATAAATCGTTCTATAGATGTGAAAATTGAATAATGGTGAAATGGTACCTAGTTATTTATTATTTTTGAAAGAAAATCAACAAACCCAAAAAAGCCCTAATTTTGAAGAAAAGTATATGTATTGTTAACATTCAGTGAAATGTCATTTTTTTTCGGTTTTGTTGTTCTTTCTGTGACCATTTTGTACATATGATTTTAGAAATATAGTCTTGTTCAATTGTGCAACATATATTTCATTTGTTGAAAGATGTATCGTATGTTACAACATTTTAGTGATATATTGGTACATATTCCAATAGAGTTGTCATATGTTGGAACATCTCACATATGTGTTAGGGCAACAAAATGGTCATCTGTAGTAATAGAAGATTCATCTGTGGCAACAAAAGATTCATTTGTGGCAATAGAAGATTCATTTGTGGCAATATAAGGTACATCTGTGGCAACAAAAGGTACATCTGTGGCAACATAATGTCTTTCTGTGTCAACATAAGTATAAACTGCTACCCATTATTATTTTATAATCAATTGTAAACTTTCAACCTTTTTTTATTTACCTCGTAGATCAAATGACACAAGAAGCTTCATCTATGGCAACAACTCAATCTTTTGTTGGTGTTGCTTTCTCTGCTAACATTAAATGGTCTTTTTGTCTATGCGAAAAATGTGAGCAGCAACATGATTATTTGATTAGTCGTGTTAAAGAACTCACTAATATTTTTAAAGAAATGACATATAATATTGATGTCCATAAATCTAAGAAGATTTCACAGCCTTTGAAGTGGAGGAGATTGAAAAAATCTATTTCCTAATCACTATCTATAATTAGTCAAAAGAAAAAAATATATGACTACTGCTCCAATATCACACTCAACCCCAAAAGGCAAGGAGAAAAAGAAGGAGAAGGAGAAGGATAAGGAGAAGGAGAAGGAGAAGGATAAGGAGAAGGAGAAGGAGAAGGATAAGGAGAAAAGGAGAAGGAGGAGGAGGAGAAGGAGAAGGAGAAGGAGAAGGAGAAAGAGAAAGAGAAAGAGAAAAAAAAGAGAAGAAAGTCGTCAGTTGTGATGTGAAGCAGCAATATCCATTTGAATGTTTTAACATTGATGACGAGGGTCCAACTGAACTAATGTCATCCTTCTCGCAATGGATAAATGAGGGTCTTTACAAGTATCAAGCAAAAAAGGAAAGTCGTTCAACTATTATTAGTATTTCTTCTTGTTGTCAACTAAATAATTATTTATAATGATTACATAATTGCAGAAGAGACAAGGACGATCACTACTTAGCCAATTTCTCGAATCTTGAGTTCAAACAACTTGATTTTGTAGTTGCATTTACCAAGAAGAAGGATAATTTCTACGTAATGTCTCAACCCTATAGGTGTTGGACTGATGAGGTAAATCCATGCGCACTTTTATGTTTTGATTAAGACATGAATACATACAAATAAATTGATACAAAAATACATTTGTTGATGCATCTGTGCAGCATGTGGATGTCATTTTATACTATTTGCGGAAGAAGTCGAAGCAACAGAGTCATCCTAAATATCGATATACCACTACTAATTGTTTTTTCAAAACATATATTGACAATGCCAATATTGTTCCTGAAAATGAGTATAAAATCGTTGACACTATCAAAGGGTTTGGTATATCAGTTGGACTGCCTTGGCACCTCATAGATGAGATTTATGTCCCTGTAAATTGTAATGGGGAGTTTCATTGGGTCTTGGTAGTCGTTGTATTGAAGGAACGATGCATAAAGGTGTATGATTTGATGTCCTCATCTAGGACTAACAAAAAATTGTGCTTCGAAATTCAAAAGTTGTCTACACTATTG